AGATGTCAGCTTCTTCAGTCAAGGTACAGTCCAACACAGATGTCAGCTTCTTCAGTCAAGGTACAGTCCAACACAGATGTCAGCTTCTTCAGTCAAGGCGGAGTCCAACACAGATGTCAGCTTCTTCAGTCAAGGTACAGTCCAACACAGATGTCAGCTTCTTCAGTCAAAGTGGTGTCCAACACAGAGGTCAGTTTCATCAGTCAAGGTACAATCCTACCAGAGGTCAGCTTCTTCAGTCAAGGTACGGTCCAACATAGATGTCAGTTTCGTCAGTCAAGGTAAAGTCCAACCAGAGGTCAGCTTCTTCAGTCAAGGTACTGTCCAACACAGAGGTCATCTTCTTCAGTCAAGGTACGGTCCAACACAAATATCAGCTTCTTCAGTCAAGGTAGTGTCCAACACAGATGTCAGCTTCTTCAGTCAAGGTGGTGTCCAACATATAAGTCAGCTCTGCTAATCAATTTGCTGCCCAACAAAGAGGTCTGCTTCATCACCCAAGGTGCAATTCAATAGATAGATCAGCTTGGTTAGTCAAGGTGAAGTCCAGCACAGAAATCAGCTTAGTCAGTCTAGGTGTAAGTCCAGCACAGAGATAATCTTCATCAGTTAGAAGGTTTAATGCAATACAACACAGGGTAAGCTCCTTTAATTAAGGTGTAGCGAAACATAGAAATCAGCTCCGTCTCTCAGTCTTCACCACTCTCTGGTTCTGGGTAAGGAGATTCTAGCAATATTACACAGACAGTGTTAATAATGTATCCTAATACTCATCTATACACGCTTTCTTAAAAACAACATATTTTATTATTAATTTCAATTATACTTAACTCTGAACTTTGATCAATTACCTTCACAGCCAACAATTTTAAGCTTTTAACCTTTTTTAACTTATCAAAGTATTTAACATCGTAATCTCTCAATCCTGGCTACTTACCACATTACTTATATGCCTTTGCCCTTTCCACTTACCTTGTTATTTAGCCCTTTATTCTTTTCATTCTGGTAATTTAGCTCTTCATTTTGGTCACCTGCAAGCAACATGTCTCCATCTACATCCAAACCAACACTGTCATCTTCAGGGTCTTCAAAACAGAAATATTTTATGTTATATAGCTATTTTTAAAGCATCATTATTAATTCAAAATTTGAGGCTATAGTTAATCCCCAGATGCTGAACTTTTTATTTACAAAAATCACATTATTCTTAGGAATCCAGAAGTGTGTGTGAATATAACCTACTTATTTGAGAAATCAGCAAAAAACAAAATAACTTACACAAAACAGAGTGTTTCTGTTAAAGAAATGGAATACACCAAGGAAACAATAGGAAAAAACTGCTACTGTAGATTTGTTTTCTTAAAACTACTACCATTTTGTTCAGTGAGAACTAAGTAAACATAGGAATAAAAATACCATTTTATATTATCAATTGTGCACTCGCCATACTATGAAAATATATGTGTAGTAATACATTAATTCAACATAGCTTGGTGTAAGACAGTATGTGGGATATGGGTAAAAAAATTACTAAATTCAGCTCTGTTAGCTGAATTTACCAAAATTTGGCATTCATTGATAGAAAAAATTAACAATGCTGGACCATGAACATAAGAACACAGGTCACATTAGGCATTAGATTGTTTTGTGTTTAACTAAAACCTCTAAAAATGGAGTTTCCCCATTAAATTTAAGTATCTTAAATAGAAGAGACTAGAGACATTTATTTACCTAGGTCTACACCTATGAAACACAAATAAATTAATTCAACTTTATTTTCCATACACAGAATAGATGTTGAAATGAATGATTAAATACATTATGTGTAAAAGGCTTCAGCAAGTCAATTCAGTTGTGTTAAAAAGTTTAGGTTTGGAATTTCATCAAGTTTTACAATTTCTCAACAGATACTCTTTATATATTGTTAGACATCTTTAATGAATAAAAACAAAATTAAAGGCCAATGTCCTCATCATTAATTAGAATTATTATTTTTTACCTTTAACAATCATGAGATTCATGACATAAATGACACAGTTTCAACCTTTAACAGTTGTCACATCATAATGTTCTTTGTACCTTTGATCATCATCATACTATGAAGTTGTTCCTACCTTTATCATTCACAACCATAACATAAACGACATTGTTTCAACCTTTAACAGTTGTCACGTCATAATGTTCTTTGTACCTTTAATCATCATCATACTATGAAGTTGTTCCTACCTTTATCATTCACAACCATAACATACACAACATTGTTTCAACATTTAACAATTAACATGCCATTACGTTTTCCTATCTTTAAAAATCATCATGCAATGAAGTTGTTCCTACCTTTAACAATCAATCATTATTATGCCATGATAGTTCTTCATATCTTTAATAATTATCATACATTGAAGTTGTTCCCATCTTTATCAATCATAATTATGCCATGATGTTGTTCCTATCTTTAATAATTACCATACATTGAAGTTGTTCCCATCTTTATCAATCATAATTATGCCATGATGTTGTTCCTATCTTTAACAATCATCCTTTTACCACAATGGTATCCCTATCTCATAGTTCCTACAACTTGAGCAGAATGTAATTCCCAGACCTTTGAATGGAATGGGGGAAGGGGTGTCTGTGAGCCAGACTAGTTTCAGAGAATTCCACTCCTCATCAGTGACCCTGGACACTACCACCAATGAAACTTCAGACCAAACCAAGTTCTTCAAATACCTATAGAATGATAGGTTTCTTTTTTGTAAGTGTAAAACAACTTAAATACAATATTTCAAAATTCCCAGACCATTTGATCTATGCTTGCAATATATAACTGAACCATTATTTATAATAATGTGTGAAATTGAAAGACATTATTAATGTATTGTATAATAAAAACGAAACCTGAGTTGTGTGTTTAAACTCACTTTCCTAGAACATGTACAACAATGGCAGTTCATCCATTTGTTTATAACAGTGTATACAATTCACAAGTTCTTAAGTTTAATTTAAGTCAAAAAGATGTTATTACAGCATAAACAACACTACAGATTTCAATATTTCTGATGATTCGGTTTTGACTTTTAATACACAGAAGGACCATGTTTTCTACTGTAAAATGAAATATTCTTTAATAAGTGCACTTCTCATATGTCAAATTTGTATTAAAGCAATATTTTCTGATGTGTGTACAAGCATAAAACTTACAGAACTTTCAGCTGCTAACCATGCACTGCAATAGTCATATTTACAATATCTATAAAACAATTGCATGTTAACAAAATCAACCAGTGATGCATAGCATATTACATTATTTTTGCACAAGCTTTGAAGCTGAACACAACAAGTTCATCTATATCAAAAAATTAAAATCTTTGAAGTAATGTAACCATAAATTTATTGATCAATCATGTTAAAGAAAATATTTAAGTTTACTCAAGTTTTGTTCCTTCACAATATCACCAGATTATAGTTATAAATGTTAACATTTTCCTACACTAAAAATGTATTTCTGATAGAATCTGACCTCACATAATAGCTTTTCTTGAATGTGCACAAATTTTTGCTTGCCACAAGCCTTGTTACTCCCACCTACCCTCACGTGAGACAGCAGTGTGATAGCATGCAAGTGAGCATGTGACAACCTTCCACCAATAGGAGCAGGACACAACTAGCACAGCTGACTTCCTCTATGCAGCTTAACTCAACTTCACTTAGAGATTGAGCAACATAAAAAAAAGACATCGGAAGTGGGGAGAAAGGGTGGGAAAAGTGAGAAGAGGTAAGAATCTACGGGAAATACATTTTCAGTGAAGGAAAATGTTAACTTCCAATACAATATCTTACTTCTTCTCACAATATAAAAAAAAATCCACACTGACCTGGTGGAGGGACCGGTGTAACATTACCTAGATGAGTCCCCTTCAGAAAGTGCTCAAAAGAAGCCAGGTATACCATTTCCTCATGAAAAAGATGTGTCACAATAAAGACAGAATTACAGGATGAACCCCATAAATTATATAAAGAGACCCCTGGTGTACAGTGGCTAGAGCATGGTAGACCATAAGTGGGAGATTGACCTCAACCAAAACCAACAGTACCGTAAAAGGAATGCCCGGCCCATGGTAGGAAGAGGGTTCCCTATCATTCACCTCTGACATGGGAACTGCAAGGGAAGAGGATCTTCCATTCCAAGGAGTTTTGCATGTCCAACTCAATGAACACCAGTACCTCACAATAACCAATATCCAGATGACGGTAGGAAGAAGAAGAACAGCAATGTGGCAGTTCATCTCCAGTCCAGAACCAGGTGGAATTGGGAATGAAAAGTCCAGTCCATGGTAGGAGGAGGGTACCTGGTCCACTCGCATAAAGGACTTACCCAGCTGGTCCAGCTCCAACCAACACCAGCCCCCCCCCCCCCACCCTTAGTAACTGACATCTGGATGACAGTAAGAAGGAGGGGTGAACTGCATTTTACAGCCAAACCGAGAAGCAGCAGGGATGGGCAGCAATTCCCTTTGAGTTTACTCATGTTAGTCCATGAGTGTACAGTCTGTCAGTTGTCTTGTGGAACACCCCATCTCAATGGTGGGCATTACTGATACTGACCTGAATGATCATACAGTGCAGGTTTAAGGATAAGTATTCCTAGTCAAGCAATGCTTGCCAGTGAGCAGGATCCATATTTGTGAGAAAGGCCCCTGTAAACAAACAACAGTATAAAAATAGTAAGTACTCACTCATAGAGAAACTGTGGAGCTCAAGATGGTGACAGGAAGTACATGCTAACCTGTAGAGCAGAAAATGACCAAATGATGCAGATAATGCAAGATCAATGTATGGGGAGTGTGGCCCACATGCTGGCACAAATGATATCCTCTAAAGGAAGACTGAATCAGGTAGCTAGGGACCTGGTAAGGTGACAGATTTGATGGGAGGAGACTTGGAAGAGATAAAGATCATGAGGAGAAAGGGAAGAATACACCAGACAATTCAGCTGGCAAATAAAACCTGTAGGGGTAATAGGAAAAATATCATGGGAAAGGGAAGGGTTCTAATGAATAAACAAATGAGAACAACAGAAGGGAACATTGTGAGCCACGTAACACCAGAAAGCCTGAACAAGACATAAGAAGTGATTTGAACTGGAACAAGGATAAAGGTGAGAAATTGAAGGGAAGGAAACAGGAGTTAAGGACTGAAGTTTTGAGCCAAAGTTGATCCAGGAAGAAGATGGCATAGGACCTGTGATATAATGTGCAAGAGACATTGAGAGTGAACAAATGCACACACCAAGAGGAGGAGGAAAAATATTTTTAACCCTTTAAACACGATCAGACATGATTACCAACTGCTCAACTAAGACATTTATGCAACAAAAACTCTGTGTGTTCCTCACAAAACCTCGTAAGATTTTATTAGTACAATAAATATTTTGTATTATTTTTTTTTTATTAGTACAATAAATATTTTGTACACAAAGAATGACATTATTCTAATTGTGTCTTTCTAATAAAAATTTGATTTATCTATAGTAGGTATTTGCACTCAAACTGTTGAGAAATAGTTCGAGTGCCAAGTGATTTTCATTTTAAGCATAAAAATACTTTTCTTCATCTTATAGTTTTCATTATTCATTTGCATAATCTCTAGAACCTTCTAAAGGAATATGAAAAGTTTTTTAAGGTAAATTTTTGTATTTAATTTTTTATTTTCTTTACTGTATCACTAATTCTAGCTATTATTATCAATGTACAATTCAATTAAATAATTAAAATTAAGAAATAAAAAAAATGCATACCTTTTAATTTTTTGTAGAATATCTTTAAAGATGTTTTGGTTATAATTGTAATTTTGAGTATTTTCCTTTTCACATATAGTTAATTTTTAATGTTTTATTTTCTGTTCTGTCATTTACCACATATTATTCAATGGTACCATTGAGGCATGTTATAGTGTCTCTGGCAGACATGTGCAACCCTTCAGCAAAAGTTTTATGCACCATGTATATCCTAATCCTCGAAAACTGATGCAAAGTATGATGTATATATAAAAAAAATTTTAATCTTTCAATTATGCATTTTAAAAC